AGGTGCAGCTCACATCATTTACTCATTAGTAGAATGTCTTGCCAAAATTAAAACAAAGAGTGGAATGTGGTTCAACAAGTCTGGTTGACACCTAATCTCTTTAACTTTTGTTCTACTTTCATGAAACACTTTCTGCTCTCTCTTCACTTAAAGTCTTTAAGTGAACTTCAAGAAAGTGGACTTCAAGAAAGACTTCAGGACTTCTGAAAATTTTCAAAATAAAAATATCAAACCTAAAGTCCAATTATAAGAGAACAGGCCTTCTACTACTGATAAGGTAAATACCTGCACTAAATCAGATGTGTTTAACAATCATGTTCCAGCGGGGGACATTACTGAGAGAGAGGAACCTTTGATCCAGGGTCCATTTCAGTCCCTACAATCCAGCTCCACTAGCAGAAAAAGGTACAAAGCTCTTGCAGCTATAGGTATTCCTGAGAGTTCTGCTGCTTCTTGAGAGCCAGGATCCGGGAGGTTACTGGAAGGGTGATACACTGTATCAAGATCACAGACTACTATTCCTGTAGCTCTTCATGTGGGTACAAGTGATGCTGGAGGGTGGAATGTGAGAAGAATCAAAGAAAACTAGAAAGCTCTGGGAGCACAAGTGAAAAACATTAGAGCCCAGCTTATCTTCTCTTCCATTTTACCAGATGGAGGAAAGAGGGAAGCCGGGAAAATATGCATAATACGTGTCAACTCCTGGCTATGAGGCTGGTACTGCTGTGAGGGTTCGGGGTTTTATAATGGAATCTTCTGTGAACATTATAATCTGTTAGGGAGGGATGGAATTCACCTGTCTAGAAGGTCCCCAATTTTTGGGAACAGGCTGGTTAAGCTAGTGAGGTGTGCTTTAAACTGAAAGAATCGGGGAGTGGGGTCCATAATGGCAATTCTCATGACATTGCAATTAACTGGAGAATAAGCCACAACAACTGTAAGAGTAATAAATGTTCTTTAGCTGCTTCCAGTGACAAAATCAGAAGGCCAGACACCTTAAAAATGAGTACGCCTATGTGAAATCTTCTTGTATTCCTATAGGGATACCTACACCCTTTTCTTCCCTAAAGTGCCTGTATATTAATGCATACAGCATGGGAAATAAACAGGAAGAACTAGAGATCTGTGTGTGATCACAGGGCCACAATTCCATTGCAAACACAGAGACATGGTGGTACAGCACGTATGACTGCAACGCTGTCACAGATGGCTATGCCCTTTTCAGGAAAGACAGGCTAGCAAGGCGAGGTGGTGGAGCTGCCATCTGTGTTACTGTGAGGGTACTTATAAGTTGGGTCAGGAGTTTGTTTAGTCCAAAGAAGAGAGGCTGTATATTGGAGAGGTCTTATTATAGGCTGCAATTGCACAGATGGAAGTGTTAAATGTTATTCTATGAAGACATTAGAAGAATGTACTTCTAAAAAGTCAAAGAAATCTGCCAGAGGACTGAAGAAGAGTTTTCTTCATTTCTGGGACAGAGTGTTTGGAACAAAGTCATGCTATCAAAATGTTCTAAGAAGATGCAAATGTTGATGATCCTTGGGTATTGTTATGTCTGCCTTCCCAGTGAGGCTGTAATCTCCATCTGCCCCTTGGCTCTTCTAATATCATTTATGACAGTGCCAGGGCTGGAGGACTGAACACTGGAGGCAGTTGTGTTTGAATGTGAAGCCAAGTGACCTTTGAGATCTTGCTGACTATGACTGAAATTAATGTTCATGTTAGTTTACTCAGGCCTCTAAGACATTATGTCTGCCACAAAAACCTAATTTATTTTCCTGGGTCACACCTCATATGAACAGGCCAGCCCCAAAACATTGATGTCCTCAGAGGTGAATGCTTGGCTTCTGGGTTATTATTTTCTTGTTACTTCTGCTCCTATAGAACATCTGTTTCAGGGTTTGATTGTCCAAGTAAAGGCAGCTGTGTTGCAAATATAAATGAGGGACTGTCTTCTCATTTTCAGCCTAAAATTAGTAAACTTTAAAATATACATGCTTTTTCTTTACTACCAATCTAATTTATTTTAAAAAGTTTATTTCATTTTCCAGAGTTTGTTCTCAGTGCATTTTTTAACAGCAGCTTTGTCCACATCAGCATTCTTTACTATTAAAACAAGCCATAGTCCCATGGTCTCCTGCTGATCTTTTTTCATTTTTTTACATTTGTCTTGAACACGATTAACTAACATGTATGCCGTGTTTCAGAAGAAGTCTTTCCAGGACTGGTGATAGGCAAATATACCTCTACTTTGATTCCAGCTGATCACAGAATTTCAGCATCACAGGATGGCTGAGGTTGGAATGGACCTCTGGAGGTCACCTGTCCCAGCCCCTACTCCAGCAGAGACACCCAGAGCAGGGTGCCCAGGGTCACATCCAGGCGGCTTTGGAAGATCTCCAAGGAAACTCCACAGCCTCTGGGCAGCCTGTGCCAATGCTCTGTCAACCATGCAGCACAGCAGTGCTCCTGGTGTTCATAGAGAGACACCTGGGTGCCACTTTGTGCCCATTGCCATTGTGTGCCCTTTGTGCTGCTGCTAGACGTTTCTAGCTCAGGGCCATTCTGAGAACAGCAAGTACTTCTTTGTCTTAGTTCCTAAATGTTTCCAAATAATGAGCATATGCTACAAGTATTTGTTACTACTTTCCAGATAAGTGGTATCATGTTTTGTAGAGATGAATTTAATCTCAGTCCTACTACTCCAGTTCCCAAGGTTGCACAGTTCTTCCAAACAGCTTTCAAACATTTTTTAGCTGGCTTTTAACTTGGAAAATCATGAAGCAGCAGACAAAATCTGTGTTCTATGTTGTTCTATTGTTTGAAATGTATATCCTGATTTGGGTTGTTAGTCTTTATTTTTTCTAAGAGAAAATAAATTATGGTGAAGAAATAGTGTAAATTAATGAAAAATTAGAAATGTTACATGTGCAATTGTTGAACTAAAAAATAAAATGACATTTTATTTCAAAATAAATCAAAAATCTCTATTAAAAATTCTGTTTGAAAAATCACAGAATCACAGAATCACAGAATGGCCAGCGTTGGAAGGGACCTCAAGGATCATGCCACATGCAGGGCCACCAACCTCCACATTCAATATTAGACCAGGTTGCCCAGGGCCCCATCTGACCTGGCCTTGAACACCTCCAGGGATGGGGCATCCACAGCCTCTTTGGGCAGCCTGCTTCAACACCTCACCACTCTGTCTGTAAAGAACTTCCCCCTGATGTCCAACCTAAATCTCCCCTCCCTCAATTTAAAACCATTTCCCCTTGTCCTGCAGTTATCAACCCTTGCAAAGAGTTGATTCCCCTCCTGTTTGTAGGCTCCCTTTAGGCACTGAAAGGCTGCAATGAGGTCACCCTACAGCCTTCTCTTTTCCAGGCTGAACAAGCCCAGCTCCCTCAGCCTGTCTTCATAAGGGAGGTGCTCCAGACCCCTGATCAACTTTGTGGCTCTCCTCTGGACCCTCTCCAACAGCTCCCTGTCTTTAAATCCTTCAACATTTTACCATAAAAAGCTTCAGCATGGAAAATCACTACTACTCTAAGATTATATTATAGTGCAGAAAATAAACCTCTTTGTAGACAGTAATCTTTGTATTTAGCACTCTTAAAGATCTATAGTAAAAAATGCAGAAATCATAATCTGACTACGGAGGACCTCTAGTGGTATAAATACTTCCAAATAAAAAATCCTCACAATTCTGCTTGCTTGAAATTCTATTTGGAATCACTTCAGCAGTTTCAGATTAAGTTCACCCATGATATTTTGTGTTTCCTTTTGTAGATAAAGTAAAAGCAGAAAGCAGTAATATACAGCTGTCTGTGTGTGCAGTATAGCATTTCACTTTACTTAGAGCAGATGCTGTCAACTTAAAAATTATTTGTTTTTACCTGTGACCATTACATAAATTACAAAAATAGCATAGAGGAAGAGAGTAGGTTGACTGCAGACACTGAGCAGATGAAGATAGCAGATACGGCTGTGCTTCATTTGTAGGGCCATGCTAATACTTTTATGCCTTCTCTAAACAGAAGTAGTTTGCATCGGTGAGGCAGCAGGAGGGAGCTGTACTGCCAGCTCCTGGGCTGCATGCAAGGTGTCCCTGGAGCCACCAGCATGGCTGGCACATTGCTCAAGGCAGCCGTATGGATAACATCCCGGAACGTGCAGACGTGGTCACATCTGATGTGAACACAGAATCGTGGTAAAAGCAGGAGCCTGAAGCAGGTCTGCCTGAACGCAAAGCCACGTTTAGATATCTCAAATATTTCTGCATTCATGGCTGTGCTTATCCACAGGCCATAAAACCTTCCTCAGATAGCGAAGTTTATCACACTGTGAATTGAACTTAGTCCCAAAGTCTAACAAATGTACCTGCGAGACACAGCCCACCCGTGCTGAGCCATTCCAAGAGCTTGGCTGGAGGCAAAAGGCACCAGAGACTCATTTCCCACCTCTGGAGAATCAGCAGATCGCCCATGTGTGAAAAACCTCATGAGAGGCAAAGAGCAGAGCACCGCAGTTGTGGAGAGCAGTTGTGACAACATACACAATGTCTGCTTCTTCTTCTGCTTCGGCCCTGCAATCTTATTTGTATTCTAAATTATGGAAAATCGTGACCAGCGTTACCTGACTCATAACTATCACAGCACCGCAGCTAATCCTGACAGACTGATTTCTTGTGAGAGCCACAGCAGGACTTCTTTTTCACACGTTTTTATTAGGAACCTCGGGTTTGAGTCCATCACCTGTGATGCAGGCAGGGTGCCATCAGAACTGCTGGGACTGAGGAAGGACGGGACTCGGCCCGCCCCACGGCAGCCCGGGCCGGGCCTCCCTCCGCGGCGGGGCTGAGGCTCGCTACGGCAGCGAGGCACCGCGAGCTCCCGGGCCGCGCCATGCCCCTCCCGGGGGCGGCCCCTCGGCGGGCACAAAGCTCCGCTGGGCGCGAGGCGGCGGCTCCTCCCTTCCTCCGCCCTCGGCCGGTGCTCGCTCCGTTCCCGCGCGGCGGGCGCAGGGTTGAGGCAGCGCCGCACGATGGAGGCGGCCGGGGCCGCCGAGGATGCCGCTCGGGCCGCCGCTCAGGCCGAGGCGCCGCCGCCCGGAACCGCCGCTGCCGCTCCGCGCCGGCTGCTGGCGCTGCTGGGCGACAAGCTGTGCACCTGGTGAGTGCGCGGCCCGCTGCTTCCACGTGGAGCCGGACTCGCATCCGGGGGAACGGGCTCGGTAGCGCGGCCGGGCTGCGATGGGCTGGGAGCTCTGGGCGGGGAGGAACGGGAACGGAGCGGTCCCGGCAGTCGCGTGTGCGGAGCTACGGCAGGCGCCCAGCGAGCCAGGGGTGTGCCGGGTTGGCGGGACTGTGTAGGGTGTCATCTCACGGATCCGCTGATGCGCCGCGATTTATCTATTTATTTTTTAAGCTTAGTAATTCTGGCTTAGTATTATTAATTTTTCTGTTTTCGTCTCTGTCGACTTCGTGGCAAAGAAAGAAAGGGAAACAGGAGGGAAGAAGGTAACGGAATCAAGTAGCTGAGAGTAAGTGTGGAGTCTAGGACAGAGTTCCTCTTCCTCTCGTCTCTGGCATCAGCTCGGGGCTGAGTCCCACTGATGTATATCACTTAGCACGGCAGCACTGCTAAAGCACGGAAAAACTGGAGGAAAGCAAGCGGTGCAGGCATGGCACGTGTCCCTGCACTAGTCAGCACTGCCTTAGTGAGTGCAGATGGTCTTCTCCCGCCCCCAGCCCTCGGGAGCTGCCATTCACTTACGAATTCAGTTTGCTTCTGAGAGAGAAAATAAATAAGTGTAAATTTGAAAGGCTTTTTTGTGGGCTCCAGACGTAGTCAGGTAAGCACTGCACCTGGCATTCCCAGCTAACAAGGAAGTGCTGGCTTCTGCCCGCATCGTGCTTAGAATCCAGAGTGTGATGGGCGGGATGTCTGGGGATCTGTGCTGGTCGAGTACAGACCTATTCCGAAGGGTGAAATCTGTCTCTCTTTTTCTGGTTACAAGTTTTCTGTTCCTCCTGCATTTCAGGAGTGCTCCAAAATACAAGATGGAACTAGCAGGAACTGCTCAGTGATCTCACAGGTACTGGTGTTGCCAGATGTTGCCAGAAGGCTATATTGTTTGAGTCTGGATGCTGCTTCAAAGAAAATAGAGCTCTGACTATCTTCTCCAAAGGCTTCTCTGTGCTACTGAATTGGGTTTTAATTTTTTTTTCCAGGTGGTTGGAGGCTCAGCCACTTGAGATTTAGAGGCCAGACTCATACAAAGGTTTAACATATAGTAGACTAAATGGACTTTGTTGTTGTTTTCCCCCTCCAGTTCCTTGCCTTTTACAAATTAATTGACCTCAGCTTCAAAGCAGAACATTGAAACACTGAAAAGGTTGACGCTGGAAAAACTTTTTTCTCCTCAGCTCATCATAATGAAATAGGCTTCATCTTGCACTTGTGTTTCCTGTACCAATTCACATAACAATGCGAGGTTGTTCAAACAAAGTGGTCTCCCTTCTTTCTGTTTCTCTTGTTCAGGAAGCGTTCAGTAGCTGAAGCTGAAATGTGAGTAAATGCTCTGTATGAGCTGTGTTGCCAGGCTTTACCTGTTGGTGTTTAACTGGTGACATCAATAAAATCTGTAATTTCTGAAGAGTGGTATTTTTTTTGTGGGGAAAAAAAATCACATTAAAATTACAGATTTTATTAAAATAATAACCAATAAAACTGTTAGCAGTGGGCCTATTAGAGTTTCTTGAACTTTCTCATCTATGAACTGAATATGTTTTAATGCTTTGATATGTTTTTCTTCTGTGTCTCACCTGGAACCACAGAGCCACCAGCCTGGTGTTCTCATGATGCTGAAAGCTGTATGCCAACTGGGCTGGAGCAGCAGTGGCCATGGAACACATTGTGCCAAGTTTTCACTTGTTCCAAAAATGTCTCTCAGCCCTTACAGGAGTAGTCAGATAGGATGTATGGCCTGACAGTGTATCAGTTTGGTTTGGTGATCTTAGACTGTTATTTCCAACCTAAATCAGCCTTGATTCTAAAGGGAGAGGTGAAGTGATAACTGAATAGCCACTTGCCAAGCAGTTTAAAAAAAGCCAAAACAACAAAAGAACCCAGCAAAACAAAAACTACTACCCAGCAAGAGAACACAAAACCAATAATTCTGGCAACAACAAAAATACCCCACACCACCAACAAAAAACAAACTATAACTAAAAGGCTGTCTCAGACCACTTTGTGTCATCAGAGTCCAGAGTGATTTAGTCCTTACCAATGCATTAAAAAAGAAAGACCAATTTCTAGCATGGAAGAGTTAATTATTTATAATATTTCAAAACAAAAACAAAACAAAAAAACCCAAACAAAAAAATAACCTGATAAATTATTAATAAGAGTCACATTAATCAATAGCTATATCATGAAGTGAATGGAAACAGATGTCTTGCATGCATTTTTCTGATAAGAAGTTGTCTTGCAAAATGTAACCAATAGGATTTAAATTTTATTCTGAAATTTGGCAGAGGACAATGTACTTTGTGTAAGGATGTTTTATTAATTTGCTGTGTAAATTTGGTGGGCACTGAACTCATACAACACAAGGAAAGCACTTGAGCACACGTTCCATGTGGGTAGCCTTACCGTGTTGAACTGCTGCCTTGAGCACTGGGAATGTGCTCTTGGTTTCTTGGTTTGAAGAAACTCGCTTTGGCATGAAAATCTGAGAGTAGGAGAAAAATAAAGAGAGTGAGGCAGCAAGAGTGACCCTGCCTTGCATTTGCCTTCAGTGCTGTAGAAGGGAATGCGGTAGGAGTGCCTTGGCATACATTAACCACGTGGCAATCATTGCTGATGTGGCAGCCACCAAGTGAGCAGCTCTGCAGGTTCTGGGCCTGCTGCTCTTCCCACTGTAACAATGGGAGAACATGATTCCCTGAGTGCTTTGAGCTGGAGAAACTTAGTTGTTAGGATAGCTGAGGGTCAGCCTTACTGAGAACCAGGCTGGTTTCGGTAACTGGTGGTTGAAGCTGATCAATCATTAGTAGATTTGAGTGGCAGCAGATTTTCTTCTTGCCGGAGCGTGACTATTATCCAGTGTGCCAAAATGCTGCGTATGGAGAACTCTGCTCTAGAGAAGTGCAGATGTCTGGGAGATGCGGGGGCTGCCTCTTGCAGAGCCTGTGAGAGTGTTGACCATCTTGACTCACTGAGGCCCGTGTTGAACAGGCCCAGGCCTGCAGGGTGGTCCTGCCTGTGCTGCTGGAACCATGTTTCCCATTTGCTCTTGTTCACCATGTTATTCCTCCTCCATATTGTAGTGAGGCTTCTCTTCTCATTGCCTAAAGGGTAGCAACAGGAGAGCTGGGAGCAGTGTTCAGCCTCCAGGAGGAAGGAGGAAAATCTCATCTTTGAAAATTTAGCTGGCCTGTGTTATGTTCTTACTGGTGCCGGATGGCCTGAGTTCTTCAGGTGAACGTGAAAAGACATTTCTGCATCAGTCAGAAGGAATGGCCAGGATGTGTGCCAAATCTTTGCTCATATGTTCACCAAGTGAAACAGTCAGATCTTTGCCAGAATAAAAAGTAATCCAGTATTACAGAAGCAGGGTAGCTTCACAGATTTTTTTTTTTGCTTTTTATTTCTTTTTGTCAGCAGTCACTCCTTATGTAGGTGTGCTTTACAGCAGTGTGTACAGTTAATTCTGTGCTACAGAATAGTCATGAAAAAATTCTAGCTGAAACATGGGAAACATGGTCTCTCCTTACTTCAGCACTGAAAGTGCTATAGATGAGACTGCTTTTTCACGCACCAGAATGAGGCATTCACACTTGACAGAGTCTTACAAAGCTGTCACAAGATAAAGTGTGAATGTGCACCATTACTGGGGTGCTCAAGGCAAGTTTAGGAAAATGTGGTACTTCTCTGTCTTGGAAGTAAAGTACCACTGGACTTCACAGAGATTTGCTGTCTCATCTAAGTGGGTTTGGAAAAAAATGTGTTCAGCAGCATTTTTAAAGTCAGTTGAACTTTGAGATCAGGCTGAACTGAAAATGAATTTCATGCAGCTGAATTTCAATCAAAAGTGCAAAGAAGTCGTGTTACGTCCAAAGGGAGGCATGGTTTGAGTTGGCTTTGACTCCCCAGAACACACCCTTCTTGCGGATGACATTGGCAGCTGGATTGCACATTGTAGCTGGATCACACTGTAGCTGGATTGCACATCATAGCTGGATTAGCTGGTAATTACTACATTCAAGTGATGTGGGTTGGAAAAAAAACCAAGTGGTATTACTTTCTGGTACTGTGTCTGGAATGACTTGTCCTATGTTGTCAGTGGAGGGCTATGGGCACAGGGTAGATGTAGAATCCTAATGAGATGCTCTTTCCTTGCTCAATTACTCCGTAGCAGCAAATTTGCTGTGTTGTGCAGCCAGATAAATTGTCATTGGTAGTCTTCAGGGCAAACTAATTAGAGGTGGACAGAACCACACAGGCAGTGCATCACTGAGGGGATCTCACTGTACATTTTACTTGTGAGTGTGCAGGCAGTAAGGTCGTAGGACTCTGCATAGCTTCAGTGGCAGGAAAAGGATATACAGCAAGCTTTGCATGGCTCTCCGTGTAGGGACACCTAGGTTAGTCACTTCATACTATGTAAGGAATTGCTAATGAAAGAGCATGAGCTTTTCTTTTCCCCTGGCTGTGAATTGCACTTTAGAAGCTAGCATGATTGTTGGCACAAATGTGCTTAACTCCATCATCAGCTGCACCAGAATGTAAGAAATTGTAGCAGAAAAAATCCACAGTAAGTATGGATGTTTCTGTATTTCCATAGCACTACTCATCTTAGGGACGCAACTCACTTGCGAAGGCTCAAGTCTCTTCTGAGATAACTGTTGTGCCACTCTTCACACTGCAGATTCCTGATGACCAAAGTTGAGACGAGGCAGTGGAGGACAGGAGGTATAACTCAGGATGTGCATCTCAAAATGTGATGAGAATAGATCATTGGGCTGAACCTGCCCAGCTGAGTTGTGTGGAGATGCTTGCAGGTGTATTGCAGTCTTTATTAACTGATTTGGACCAGCCTTACCAATTTTTGTTGGTAGTTGTGTGGTTGAGACCTTCAGTATAGACACAGTGCTGCTTGCTGGTGAAATGGAAGAACATCAATAGGCAGTTAAAAAAAAAAAAAAAAAGAAATATCAATCTATAAAATGGCTTTTTCCCTGTAACATAATTAATGAATTGAAATGTTTAATTCTAAGCTTACTTTGTTGTCTTTCATATTTACAGGCATATTTTGAAAACAATTCTTCTGGGCCAGATGCTGTCCTTGTTTATCTGTGGGACTGCTGTTACAAGCCAGTACCTGGCAGAACAGTACCAAGTGAATACTCCAATGTTTCAAAGTTTTATCAACTATTCTTTGCTTCTTCTAGTTTATACAACAATGCTGGCGTTTAGGACTGGTATGTAAAATATGGGATGAAAGATTCTGCTTCCTTTTTTTTTATTATTTTTTTCCCCTACAGTTTGAAACTACAGAACTTACTCAATACTTGGCCTAGTTTTTGTAAAGATCCTGCTGAAATTACTGCCTTGCAATAACACATGGGAGTGAATTGCATTGTTAAATGTGCATGTAACTTGCTTTCACTTCATATTTGTTTTTATTGTTCTTTTTTATTTCAAGTCCTGTGTCATATTAGGGGAAAATCGGCATTGTAAAAAAAATTCTTAGCAAGAGCCTGTTTAATATTGTTGCTATACTGCATTAATTTACTCTTTAAATATTTCTAATTTGTATATATATGTATATATATCTTTGAAACAGTGTCTTCACCATTTGTATGGTCTTCTCCCAGGCTATATTTTACTTTTGTTATACTTTGCTTAAGCAGAGGCAACCCAAATTCAGCATCACTGTATTACTTATACTTCTTAAAAGAAAGATACCTGTGCAATATTTGATTTGAAAGAAACACATTGACTGCTGCTCTTTTCTAAACAGGCGGTGACAGTCTTCTTCAAATTCTGAAGCAGAGGTGGTGGAAGTATATTCTTTTGGGACTGGCTGATGTTGAGGCCAATTACATGATTGTAAAAGCCTACCAATACACGACTCTCACGAGCGTACAGGTAAGGACTGCTTTCTCTATTTTGAACTGCTGCTTTGATTGCGGTTTGGACTCATTTCTGAAACGAGATTCATAGGACAGACATGGAAGCTATTTAAACCTGAAAAAGCCTTTCAGTATCTATTTTCTCTGCAGTACAGAGAAGGGCATCTTGCATCATGAGTAACATTTCCAGGAAGCAGAGAAAATTGGCTGATACTACCCATTGCCAACTCTTGAGTTGAACTCTAATTATTTTGATAGAAAGCACTTCTAAGAGTTTGCTGACAGCCACTCAGGGTTTTTTTTTTTCATGACACTGTGTAAAGATTTTGGATCAGATAACACTGGCTCAGCTTGAGCTCTGTATGATGGGAATGAAGTAGATCAGCCTGGAAGCAGTGGGAAGCTTTGCAAGATGTAACCCCACATGTGAGGACATATTGGAAGTCAGCATGCAGTGAAGGGCCAGCACTACGGCTTTTGGCTGTGGCAATTCAGAACACTCTCTGTGAGATGGGAGGGAGGTCAGTATGCCAAAATATCAGTCAACAGTCATGTCCTCAGCAGTGCCAGTGCTCGGTACTTCATTGCTGCACTGGGACACATCTGTTCTAAAATAGCAGCAGGACTGTGGTGGCAGTTTTTGCCACGCTCCACAGACATGAACTATGTTTGCCAGGACAAGGGAGGGAACAGTACAGAAGCAAGAATGGAAGGTGGCAGCCTGTGCCTGCTTTTAACAATGGTGGACCTGTGGCTTAGGTCCTGGCCCCATTTACCTAAATAAAGGCATAGTGTATCATACAAAATTAGCTGTTAGTTGAAAAGGAATGTGTAGGTATCACTGTTCTTGAGTCAAAGTAACAAAAGTTAATATTTAAAAGAAATACCTATAAAGCAATAAACACCTGTGGTGTAGGCTCCCTTTAGAGAGCTGTGGTAGTTTTTTCTTGTACTGCTGAAGGAACAGTAATGTGCCTTAGGAGTTATTCTTGTCGCACTGCCACTTCATAATTATGTATTATGGCTCATTAAGTCTTTAATTTACTTACAAATAATGCCTCAGAAATTACAGACTTAAGAATGGCATGTTTCAGGCTCAAGATCAAGCTAAGCTGATCATTGAGATGCTGTTTGATCATACACTTTACAGCTGAAAAAGCCAGGACTTTGATCCTTCTCAGAAGTGGTAAAGCTGTTCCCACGATATCTTTCATAGACAGTAAGAAAGAATAGGTACAGTGGGTCATAGAGTTCAATTGCCAGATTCAAACATTTACTAGATGTGCATGTGAGAACCTCCAGACTGGTACTTCAAGTGCCAGTTCAATGATTGTAAGTTTGCTGTAACTACCAGCTGCAGTCAGGTTTCTTGCACATTTTCTGAAGTCACTGGGTTGAAATGGGATTCAAGACAAAAAAGCCTGCAGTTTGCTCTCATGCAAGGCATTTGCTGTCAGCAGCCAGCACTTCTGCAGTTACATCAGAATCTGTGGTTCAGAGCCTCTGGCTTCAGTAGTGGCTGTAAGTGGAAGCTCAGGGTGTGTAACAGCAAAGTAGTATTCAAGACCTTCCTGGATACAGTTTAATTACTATAAAAATGCTGGCTGGATGGAGCTTCCCCTTAGCTTTATCTTTTTGTTTAAATGTAGGTTTCCTCTCAGCAAGGGACTTCCATGTGTTTTCACACAAACACAGGAAAAAAACCAAACCCACTTGGTTTTCCTTTAGTTATGAAATGCTAGCATTGCAGGGAGGGGTTGGGGAAATTTTTAGAGATAATATCAGGATGGCAACCTTCCTTTCTCTGTAAATACAGAAAAAGACTTCGGTGCACAGCTAGAACTCCTGCTGGGCTGTGGCTGAGACTTCCTCAGTGCTGGTGTGCTCCAGGCTGGAGGGAGGATGTGGATGTATTGCTGTCTTACCATGTATTTCATAGCAAAATTAGAAGTGGTGCAGCTGTGTTGCCAAAATTATTAGGCACAACTAGCATTTTCTCTGTTGATAATGCAGGTGGAGAAATTTGATAGGTAGAATATCAGTTTGTGGAAGAGTATGAACCTCTACAGGAGAAGATCCAGTTTGGGTGCTTGGCGTTCAGCAAGAACCTACCTGTTGGGAACCATGGGGGAGAGTGTGCAGGATGAGCTGTTTAGCTTTAGTGCCTTCAGAGCTGCCTGGAGCCAGCAGTTATAACAAACCAATGACCTCCTGCAGTACGTGATAATTGATTAACCATGTTTTAAAACACCTTTTAATGATTTACTCACTCTACCCTTAAAACCTTCCTATGTCCAGTGTGGCCGAAGCCTGGCTTGGGTCAAAACACTCATAAATCAAATCAACGTGTTATTTGTTTGTTTTTTTTTCCCCCTGTGTAAAAACACAGGCTGGAATTGAGTAAGGTGAGTTTGCTGAGGCTCTACTGACAGTAATAGTCAGTACCACAGTACTGCCATAAATGTCATAAAGTCTGAATAAATAAACTTCATTCTTTTAAACAGTTCCATTGACACAATTCATTGTGATGGTGCTTCTGCTTTGCACCTCTGTAATCTTGATCCTGTGCAGAAGAGAGCATTTTCTACCAAAGAGCTTTGTAATGTGGTAGATGAAAAAAAGGCGAGATCCAGTACATGGAAATCAGATTTTTTTTTTCTGAGTGTAATTGCCCCCTGAAACAGATTGCCAGTGTGTGTTCTTCATCATTTGGTGACTGTATGTGGTGACTGCAAGTCCACTAACCAAGATACTGTAGCTCTACAACATGTTATTGGTCTGGATGCAGCAATTTTCTATCAGATGTTACCAAAAGAGGTCATGGCTGATTATTTACTTCTTCCTTAAATCAATTTTTTTTTTTTTTTTCCCAGAGGTTTTGATTCCATTCTCTGTTTGAGTTGAAAAACTGCTTGGAAGTTAGAAAGCTGCATGGTAATATCTCAATAAACAGGGAAGCAAAGGCTTACTTATTAACAGAGGAGATGTCTACTCTTGGGGAGATGTGTGTGTAAACATTTTTTTAATTAGTATTTTTGTAGTATTTTGTCACAGAGAAATTTCTGTTTCAGAGAAATCTTTGTTTAAGACTCTGTGCTTTCAAATACATTTCTGTGTTCAGAATTGATTCAGAACAGAAGTGGAAAATCTTGATTTATGAGAGCTGAACCATACTTGTTGGTGAAACAAATGAATGACTCTTCTTGATACTTGTCAAAAAAGTCAAATTAGGAGGAAGTACCAGAAAATCGTAGGGCTTTTTGTTGTTGCTGATGAGTTTGTTTGTTTCTTTGTTTTGTGTTTCCAGCCCAGACAAAAGGGGAGATAGAGAAAAGTGCAGAAGCTCACAGAATATTACTTTTTCAACAGAGCGAAGTTACCCGAAAATATGTGATATGATGTATTACAGCTTGTGTGGTTCTAAGGTCTGATAATACAGCCTGGGCAAGTGCCTGTTCATTTATGCAGACCTCTCAAGCTGGACAAGCTGGAAACAGTCCAAAGAACAAAGACAAATAGGTGGAAGGATTAGAGAGCACCATCCGGGTTTAATCTGTAACAACCTCTTTAATGCTGTGCTATAGCTATGAAAGTTCAAGCTAGCAAGGCTTTATTGAGTCTGTTTTGTTAAAATCCTTACGGGCAGTGGCTGAACTAATGAGCACAAGAGTATGGTGGTAGGTAGAAGCTGGGAAAAGCTGACCATCGAAGGACTGCTGGCTCTTGCCTTTATTTGTAATGCCTCTGCCATGGCCTTAGTGATGTGGACCCCATCCTTTGCATTGATTTTAGGAGGCCAGGTTTTAAGGGTTTATGACTGATTTGTGAGCAGACTTTGGAAGGCTAACTACATGTTCTGCTGTAAACGGGTCTCTAATGTACAGCACCCAACTGAGGCAGGTCAGAAAATCCACTTCATTTTTCTACAGTCAAATTAGAAAACAATGTCTATTTTGTTAATTAAATATTGAACCAATTATGATTAGCTGAATGTTCTTGATATTATTTGGTTATTCTGGAACATTATGTCCATTTAAAGCTGCTACTTATTTTTTTGCATTAAATATACAGCTAACTCTTGTTTATTTTTTTCCACTGCGACAAGGGAGAAATAAGGATAGCATGAGTGAGGCAAAGGTGCATAAGATTTTAGGAACACACAGGGAGGTAGTAATGAAGAAAGGAAACAGAAGCCAGTGTCACTGCTTGCCATGGAGTGCAGACATCCTTGAACTTAAAATCTGCTCAGGGCAATGTCTGCAAACACATCCAAAATGCTTCTGTACTCCTGCTCTTGTGTGCATTTGCTGTTGTGACCTGGACAAATCACAGAATTACCTGCTTCTGACTGAGAGTCAGCTTTAGCAGAGTAATGAACTGAAAAAGCGTACATAATTTTAGGAAGCTGGAAGGTTGGGAAGGTGACTTAAGAAAGCTGCTTTTCTCATCTCTTGTTCTCCTCTCACCAATTTTGCACATGCCTTTCAGCACATTACCAATGCTTTTTGGTAGGATCCACTTGAAGACAAAAAAAAAAAAAAAAAGAAGAAGAAAAAAAAGAAAAAAAGAAAAAAACTGCAGATTTTTTGCCTTAATTGCCTTGGTGTAACATTGGATCATCTCTATCCTTCAGCACTTTTGGATTTTAACACTGTGTAAATGTACCCCCAAACTTTAATCATTGATTTGAAGAGGAGTGAAAGATGAGCTAGACAAAACCTGGAGGGGAAAAAAGGGAGTGAACAACCTCCTTGTACTGGTGTCACAGGAAGCGATGTGGCTTCAGTGCAATGTCCTAGCACTAATTTGTGAAGCTGCAGGGATTGATTAGATCCATCACTGCAAGAGTTTCCAGATTAGTGAGTTTCTTCCTGGAGGCAATGCCCCAGCAGCCCCTCCTCACTTTTGAAATGCATTTTATGGTAAAATGTGGGTGTGATGTCTCCTGCACTGAAATGAATCCACAAGGGTTGTTTTGTGTGTGGTGGAAAATAAAATCCAGAGCATTTGCTTTCAGGATAGAGAAATCCAGATTTGCAATGGCCTTCTAATCAAAATCATTTCTTTGCACACAGCTACTGGATTGTTTTGGGATTCCTGTGCTGATGGCTCTGTCCTGGTTCATTCTCCGTGCAAGGTACCGGCTGATCCATTTCATTGCGGTTGCTGTCTGCTTGCTGGGTGTCGGAACAATGGTGGGTGCTGACATTTTGGCAGGGAGGCAGGACAGTGAAGGTAAGGAATTGTGTATCGTGCAGGGAAAAATGGGGTTGTGGCTTCCACAGTGGTCTAACTTGCAAAGGCGGAAGAGAAGCAAATGCAGGGGGAATGGGTGTAGCTTTCTTTAAAAAAAGAAGAAAAGAAAACACACTGCAATTTGAATTTCTTCTCCAGGAAGGTAGTGGCTGAGGAGATACTAGTTCATGTGGAACTGTGAGATTTTCGTTGCTTATAAACTGGGGTTAAAAGGGAAACACTGGTGCTAAATTTCATTGCTGTTTATCAGACCTGATGAAAGGCCTTATTCTTGAAGGCTTGTTCATTTCATGTGTGAGATGGTCTGAGAAAAGATGCCTCCTTTCCCTACAGACTTTATCTTATTTGCACTCTGTCAGCCTATGAGCAGACTTTTCTAATGTGCAGTTTTCTATGCACAAACAGCAGGGCAGGAAAGTATCATTACCATCATCAGGCAGTGTAAAGCTAAGCCTTTTTGGCATTATTCTGGGACCTCTGCTTTAGGTAAAGTAGAAAGATAAATTCAGGTAAAGCTTTAATTCTGTGTGACACAAATATCTTGGCCCTAAGGGAGACAAATGCTCTTTCCCTGCAGGGCACCTGAGCATTACTCAGTGACTTGCATGTTGTTACTGTTGGTTACCTTCATATTGCAGATATATCTTTGCAGTGATCGCCGGCTGGCTTACGGAAGGAAGTTTGAAATCAATTCAAGGTTTTAAACAACAGCAGTTGTCTTGCAGAATGGCTGATGCGTGATGGCATTTATTGATAACAGCTGTATTACAGGGAGTCCCACTCACGTAGTACACACACATCACAGCATGACACGTGCTACCACCCATCTAGAGTATCTACTTTAGATCTGCTGTAAACCTAAAACTCAATCCAGGTGCCACTCAAATGAGCAGATGCATTTTTGCCTCACTGCAAAATCAAGGGTGATATTCAGAAAAGTGTAGACCATCTCTAACCTGGACTTTTCTCCAGTTTTTCTGCCTAATGTTGGCAGAAGCAGGACTGGACCACACTGCACAGCAGTGGCTTGGTAAGTGTCGTGCTCAGCTCCTTCCAGACTATACCAGAGGCAACCAGGCAGCAACCTGCTTGCACATAGACATTTCCTTTCCCCCTGCTTGCTAAGAAAATAGATACTAGAGATGCATTTGCTTGTCTTTTTAGGAAAGTTGTTTTTAAAAAAGTGTTTGCAGCATTGCCCTTATTGTGGATTAATATTTCTGTACAGGAAGTGACGTGGTGATTGGAGATGTCTTAGTTCTTCTGGGTGCTTCTTTGTATGCCATATCTAATGTGAGTGAGGAATACATTGTGAAAAATCTGAGCAGAGTCGAGTTTCTAGGAATGGTGGGCTTGTTTGGGACTATTATCAGCGGTCTACAGCTGTAAGGATCTAATATTTATTTTAAAATTAATTAAGACTATTCTACAGATGATTGCTTGTCTTCAATGAAATTATGTTGTTGTTAAATTAATTCTTTGTTGCCTGTCCATTTGGCCTATATGGGACTCCTATTTGAATTTCATTCATTTTATATCCTTTTTGTTTGTTCTGCTGTTATTACAGCAATTCTAAAGCTCAACTCCTGCAACTGAATACATATGATACTTGGCTTTATTTTCAATTTTGTTGACCTTCATGAGGGCATGCAGTACACTGAGGACTGCTTGCAGGAACGTATTTCTTAATGGCTTTTCTCTGTGGAAAAGTTTAGGAGGTAATCGTTAGAGGTCTTCTGTATTAAACTTTGGTTTAAAATGAAGCCATGCATACTCTTACAAATAACCCTAATGGACCACATGTACTTAAGCCTAGCTAATGAATTTTATGTTCTTCATTTCTCATCATTATAGTTAACGATTTCCTCAAATGGTATATGAAATAAAAGTAAATCTCTGAAGGATGAAAAAGTCTGGGAAGAAGGCATAAGAATTAAATAAAAGTGCTCTTGACTTTCAGGCACTTTAGTTTTTGAGTCTTTTTTCAGGCTTGTTAGATGTTGGAGTTAGTGCCATTCAAAAGCACTTAAAACATAAATTAAAGGATTGCAAATCAAAATGTTTCTTATATATTCTTCTCATTAGCTTCTCTACTTGAACACAAGAAGGTGTGTTTATTTGTTTTTTACTTGTTATATCTTTTCTCTAATTCTAGAGCCATTCTGGAACATAAGGATATAATGAAAATTCAATGGAACTGGAAAATTGGTATGTGTATAGCAAAATGATGTGCATTTCAGAACACTGAAAAAATGATAATCATTTAGATTTGACACGCTGATGTTTTCATTTTCTTTCTCTGGATTTTAAGCAACATTCTTATTATATTGTCACAAATTTATTTTCTGTAAACTTTGAAGTACTCAGCAACGACACAAGATGTGCAGGGTTGAACATGAACATTTGAGTTCAGATTTTGCGTTTTCCTTATGAAAGTCCAACTCAGTCACAAACATGTTTGGCCTTGGAACATTGCAAGAACATTTTTCTGTTGTCCTTCCTACGTGAAATACTGGGAGAACTGGTTTTGTGACTCATTTTGATACAGAACTGTACGTTATTAGGAAATGTGATTCTAAATGTCTTCAGACAGCTGCTGTGTTAACTAGGGAAGAACAAGCACAATCTTGCATAGATACAGTCATTTTTGCAATACTGGGTGGTCTTGGAAAAGAAGTACTTTTGTTGCTTTTTTTCTTAAATTTGCATTTTCTTATATTTTAGCAGTCCTTATCCTGAAAGATAAACATGTAGAGTTTTGAAACATCTAAAGAATATCAGTGATCTTTAAGATTATTATTCTCTGCCTTGGGAGTAAATTGTCATTTTGTTTTTCAGCATTACTGTTCATAGTATTTGCCCTGTGTATGTTTGGGCTGTACAGCTTCATGCCAGTAGTGATTAAAGTTACGAGTGCAACCTCGGTCAACTTGGGCATTCTTACTGCAGACCTCTACAGTCTTTTCTTTGGACTCTTCTTGTTTTACTATAAAGTAAGTAATTTCTCTCACTATAGTTAATGTTTTTATTCCAAAAATATGGATAAACATTTTACGAGCCCTTGAACAATTGTTTGCAGTTGTAAATTTCCATAGCTTGTCAGTCATCATTGACAGATGTCAGTCACGACTCACAGTTAATTACCTAGCATTGCACCATTAGGCAGTTAAATGATTTTTTAGAAACAATTTCACGCTTCATGGGGTATGTATTCATTGAGAGATAATAATAATTTCCCAAGGTAAATGGTAGAGTTTTTGCTGTACTCCCTGTGCAGAGCTCTGTGGTTGATTTGGTTCATCTCTGCAAGCATCCAAAGAAAGGGTTTGAATCTGACTGTTCTGAAAGAGTAGCAGTTTGGCTTGATCTCCATAAATTAATATTTTCTTTTAAAAATGTAATGTGTTCATTACAAACATAACAAGGAGAAGACTCGAGTTCTTAGTACTGCAGAGGAGTGACTAAAGGAACTGGAAAAAAGCAAAAAAAGCAGATAAATATATTATTCTGATCACTGTCCAAAAGGTAATTACTTTTACTGCTCTCTGAAATACTTTTTGTAGTGCTTGTTCAAGCTTAATGACAGTGCTGAAAACGTTTCATCCTACCCAACGCTTTCCATCCAGAATCATTGTGGGAACATAGCAAATTACAGCGATTGGAGTAATCAAATCAGTCACCCAGTGACTAGAGGGACTTAATGAGAAGCTTGTGAACTTTGCTTAAGATACTTAATTTGTACGTGGTTACTTTCTCTTCAGCATTATAGAGAACTAGTTTTGGAATTGTAGGACCCAATGACAGCAAGATGTTAATTATCAAGAGTTTCTTAGCTCAGCTTTCCTCTATGTTTTGGGTTCCAAAATTTGCTCCAAACTGCTCAAAACTACAGAGCATCCATCATAAATGAGTGTAAAAAATGAACTGTACTTACATTTTAAGAATTAAAAATATCCTTTCAGAGTCACTTCCAAAAATATATTTTGGAAAATATGAACTTGCACCAGAAACAATGAAGCAGCCAAAAAAGGGAGCAATAATAATGCCACAACCCTCAAGAAATGTTAACTAAGGTCTTCAAACGTTTTTGTTGAATAAACTCCTTTACAAAGAGCATACTGAAAATGCAGACACTAGATGGAGTTACAGTCCTCCGGTAATACCTCAAGTATTCTTTCAGCTTGGTATTGAATACAGGGATATGACCTGTATGGACTAAAATCAGAATCTTCTCAAGGATGGGTTAATTCTCAACAGTGTCTGGAATCATCAGCATCAAGTGCAGCCACTTCTTTGTGCGCACTGTGAGAGGGGTCTGGCAGTGACTGTGAATTTCTCAGCACAAGCATATGGTGATATTCAGTTACACCCTTAGATTTTACCCTGGGAAAGCTCTGCAGGTGCTGTGACACAGACTGAAGGAGACAGAGCAAATATCACAAGGTCAGGGTGCTTTAGCTTGCTTTTCCTTTTGTGTGGTGATTTCCAGGGATTCCCTAGCCAAGTGATTACCAGCTAGGATTTGGAGTGACTTAATTTTGGTTCCCTCAATCTCTTTTGGATCAGTCTACCGCTATTTCAGCTCCATTCACTTCATCCAGCTTTGCTGCTTGACTAATACAACATATTTTTCAAGGAAATCTTAGGAAGCTGGTGAGATTTGGGTACATTTTGGAATTTGACAGGCTGTGTTGAAAGTATAAAGTATTGCAACCTACTGTAGGGAACCTGCTTTAGCAGAGAGTCGGGCTAGATGTTCTCCAGAGGTTCCTTCCAACCGCTACAATTCTGTAGTTCTCTGAAGATGTGCTATGTCCATCATCCCACTTCTTAATCTGTGTTTTGGCAAAGCTAATGCAGGAGATCTTAACAAACTTGATGAAAAAGTGTTCTTGGCTGCATATAACTTCAGCACTTTGTATTATTGAATCTGATATTATGAAGTAAGCATTTATTTTCCTTTCTAGATGGATGAATCTTGGCAATTGTTAGACTTTGAATAGGCATGTGAGTGATAGTGAATCAAATGCCTGATGTGCCTCAGCAGTTTGTGACCTTACCTCACACACTGACTCCTCACTTGTGTAAGGCACACAGACACCCACCTTGTAAAAGTTGCCATGGTCATCCTCTCTTCAAGGACTTACTGGATGTAGGGAGCAAACCAGTTTTGGTTCCACTTACTTGGCCCTGCAGATGGTTGAATTGTGCAGAGAGCAGATGCTTTGGTGAATTGCAGTAGGAGGGAGAGGTTCATTTCTTGCCAGGAGCTAAAATATTTGTGATGAAATAAAATTCTCTGGGGAGCAGCATTCTACCCTTTGCATGTATAAAAGCTTCCCTTAGGTATCACCACAGTTAAGGCCATTTGTTCTTTCTGCTGAGATTCATAGATATTCCCTGCCCAACAGTGTTGAGGTGGAGGTGCAGAGGAAAACAGCAGCTTATCGGTAAATGGAGTTGGTGAATTTTAATTACCAGACTTGAGTATAGAGCATAGTGATCAAGCTTATTAAAATATGCCTAAGAGAAAGGGTGGCTTTTGCCTTCTCAAAAGAAGGTAGCATTTGCATCTTTTTGCATGACAAAAGACTTAACACATCTTTTTCCTCTGCCAGTTTTCAGGTCTTTATATCCTGTCCTTTGTCATCATCATGGTGGGCTTCATCCTGTATTGCTCAACTCCAACTCAGACTGCAGAGCCCACCACCGTGCCACAGCCACGCAGTGCTGGCTTGGACAACGCTGCTCTGAAGCTTGATGAAAATGACAGCGAAACACCAGCTGTAACCGTACAGTTTACGAGAGGAGAATCCGTGGTGGTCAGTACTGATTGAAAAATGGAGCATTTCAAAACAGAGCTTTTATTTTATTGCCAAAATTTCCTTCAAATATTAATCTGGAGAACTATTCTACTGCCAGAGCGTATGTTGTACTGGGCTGTTTTTAATGCACTGAATAAACTTTAAAGGCCAGATCCTCAATCAGTGGAACTATATCGATTTTATCCTGCAGAGAATCTGGCCCTTCGAAGAAGACAGAATAATATTTATGTGGTGTCTCTACAAGGTGAGAGACAGTTATTTTTAAATGCTTAATTAGCTTAGCAGCAAATGCAGCTTGGGGAGAAAAACTAAGCCAAAGAAAGTTCTCAGGTCACTAAATGGAGTAGATATGCTTTATATTGTGCTAGGGCAAGGGGAAATGGTTTTAAGTTAAGGGAGGGGAGATTTAGGTTGGATGTCAGGGGGAAATTCTTTACAGAGAGGGTGGTAAGGAACTGGAACAGGCTGTCCAGAGAGGTTGTGGATGCCCCATCCCTGGAGGTGTTCAAGACCAGATTGGATGGGGCCCTGGGCAGCCTGGTCTGGTATTAACTGGTCTAGTATTACATGGAGAGGTTGGTGGTCTTGCATGTGGCAGGGGGGCTGGAGATTCATGATCCTTGAGGACCCTTCCAACCTTGGCTGTTCTGTGATTCTGTGATTAGGGACCTAAATCTGCAAGGTGCCACCTGAGGGCTGCGTGGTTCCCACATCTCAGTGCCAGGAACCCTTGGTGTCTTGCAGGAGCCACCCATTCATGGGATCTAGTGCAGCAAGACATGTTATGTGCACACACCTTCCACATGCTGATGGACCTTATTTGTCCACTGGAGGCATTTGTATCTTACATTCTAGCTAATGTTTGTCTGTTCATATTGCATTCTTTGTTGCAGCAGGGGCTGTTGCAGAGAACAAGTATTTTATTTTCTGTTTTATTTGTAAGGGCAGCTTGTGTATGCGTGTTTGTAATTTTTTCTCTCAGTAGCTTGCTGTTTGGTATGCTCCCACTAGGTGGAGGAGACAAAATCAGTACTCTGTTCCATAAGAACTGATTTTATTTCTTCTGGATGAGACAGCAAAAGAAGTTTGAATTGAAGTTCACTTCTCAGCGAAGTTCTCTCTGAAATGGGACACATTTCTGCAGAAAAATTTGAATACAAGTGGCATTTCATAAAATAGTTTAAAGCTTTAGCCAATCCTCATTGCAACCGTAATGATACAGTCTTCAAAAGGTTATGTGCTTTCAGGAGATTCATTGGTAGTTTTCCTCCCTCTCTTTGTATTTTCAGTAAAATCATTAAAATACTTGAAGCTGCAATTTCAACATCAGTAAAGTAATGTAAGGATCTTTTTTTTGTATAAATCTTCACAGTTCAGGTGTGCAAAGTAACTGAATAAAGTTTTCAGCAGCTGAAAAGCTGGCTCTCAATTTATTTATTTTTTAAGCTCAAATTTCTTTTATTCCTTAAAATTACATTATTTCATTTTCTTTATCCAATGATTTCTTTAATGACAGAATTTTATGATAATGAGTAAACATGTCAATTCCTGAAGATACTGATAATCAAATGACACAGACTGTGTGCTTTTGGTGTAGTTCATTTGAGTTTAATCAAAAATCTCACTCAATTTTATTCAGCAACAGCAAAACATTCAGCTCATACTAAAGCAACAGACATCACCTTTTCACTGAGCATTTGGTGCATGGAAGGGTAGAGATGTACTGATGTTTTTATGAAAAGCATTTAGGCTCAGTTATCTTTTGCTTTACAGTTTGAGTTAGATTCTGGTGATAGATTAAGGCACCTCGGTTGGTGTATCTATAAATATCTGTACATCAGAAGCTGGACAGAAAGCTGAAGATCAGGTGGGGAAAAGTCTGGTGGCAGTGGATACCTGGGAGAGGCCATCTGGGTGAAGTTGTAGTTCTCTGTACCTAACTTTGGATGCCTACATTCTGGAGCTAAGTGCCACCCACTGCTACCTGTGTCGTAAGTTGTCTATGTGCAGTTATAAAACAAATGGCAAGTAAATCTTATGGAATCATTAATGTTGAAAAGACCTCTAAGATCACCTGTCCAACCATCAACCCATCCCCACCATGCCCACTAACCACATCCCTCAGTGCCACATCTCCATGTTTCCTGAACACCTCCAGGGTCTGTGACTCCACCACCTCCCTGAGCAGCCACTGTCTCACCACTTTGTGAGAAGAAACGTTTCCTTATTTTCAATCAGAACCTCCCCTAGCACAACTTAAGCTATTGCCTCTTGTCCTATTGAATCTATAGGTGAATGCTGCAAAACTGCAGAGCTTTTGGCCTAGGGTGGGATTTAGCTCCTAGATGTAGCTGGCTCTATAGTTTGTGTAAAAGATTTCCTGGGGTCCTGTCAAAAGGCACTGTATGGAGTCTGTGGCATCTGCAGGGTCTAGCAGATAGGAGCCAGTGTTGAGAGGTCTCTGGCCTGGAGCAGGACATGGAGGCCAGGTGACACATCCTAGGTTCTCCAGGACAGCACTGTAGCCTTTCCTCAGGCTGCTGATGCTTCACTGATGACTGTCCTGTGCCATGTATGATCACTAAATATTTAATGTTGACACAGCTGAAATCGGGTGCGGTGAATCCCAGGTGAAACAAGCCTGCGGCCCAATTTGCTGCATTTTCTTTCTGTGGTCGCTGGGTGGCATTTCAGTATCTCCGTGGAGTTCGCTGAAGCAGTTTTGTGTCTCTGGTGGTGAGATGGGCTGTGTGTGCCGCATGTGCCTTCAGTCGTGCTGGCAGCAGTAAGCTGAAAGTGTGCTAACCTTGGGAAAAGTAAGTTAGCTCTTAAGTTGGCAGCGACCCTTCTAATATTTCCCTCTGCAAGAAGACCAGGGGGAAGATTTTCCCTGTGTGTCAAAATACAGGCATCAAAGAGGATGCCGTGCCACCAACTCGTGCCAGCAGCCCCACCACAGAGCCAGCCAGTGTCCCTTAGTGGCCGAGTGGCAGAGCTGAGTCAGAGGGGTGTGATGGCTTCCACAGGGTAAAGTTTACTTTACTGATGAAGAAGCTGCTGAGTTCTGTTGTCTTGAAAACAGTGTTTTTGCTTCCTTTGCTTCCTCTGTTCAGCTGGTGGCTGCCACGCTCCCAAATTGCATTTTGGGCAAATATATGGAAGTAATAACACACCTAGAAATGTGACGTATTCCACTCTGACAAGCGTGATCTTTGCTATGTGGCAGTGATGGTACAGGAGAACCATCTAATTAAAACAGCTTGGTGTGTGCAGTACAAATGGAGCATCATCCAAACTTCAGTAATGAAATGTGTCAGTTTCTGCAGCAATGCTACTCAGTATTCAGAGTGGAGCAAGCCCATGGTCTGGTGAACAGGTGTTTTTGCAGCTGTGATCAGAAAGGTGTTACCTGATCTGAGAACATCTTTTAGAGAGATTTCCATGCAAGAGGTGGAAATCATGGTAGGGAGAAAAAGGCACAACTTTCTCCTTTCCTCATTGCTCACTCACTTTGTGCTGGGGCAGTGTCTGGCCACAAGTGGTTGTCTGTGGCATCCTACCCTTCTTTACTGCCTCCTGTCTGGATGAGGAGCTGTGAGATATGCTTTAGTAGCTTGTGGTAGCAATAGTAATGGGAGCACGGTTGGACTAGATGATATTGCAGATCGTTTCCAACCTTATGATTCTATGATTTTACAGTAAAAAAAAAAGAGTTTTATCAAGAAAAAAGACATGATTGCACTTGCTGCATTGCCTGTGTGTGTCCATGTGACAGAACAGATATTTGAAGCCTAGATTTGCAATGTCCAAAGCAAAAAAGCACTGAACCCTGGAGCCTGCTCTCCATGGGATAGGTGCTAGACTGTTCACTGTCTGTCCTGTGGGTGGGAAGGAAGCAGGTACAGGCTCTTTGAGAAAGGCTTACTGTTTAAGAGCATAAGTGACAACTATATTGCTCCTGAGGAAGTAAATATTCAATTAATGAATCACAGATGACAGATCATCTGGAACCTCTGAGAGAAGGTGCATGGAAATTTCTTTCATGTGTATCTTGCTAATAGTGGAGTAAGCTGGAGAAATAATCCAGTTGTCACTTGTGTTAAATCAAAATATTTCAATAAAAATGTGTGACATCCAGCCTTCCTCCACAGTTTGGTTACAAGGACATCAAAAATTATTTGGCATCAGAATGTCATGATGTATTGGAAAAGGAGGAATTAGTGCAGCAGTAATTGAATGGTGACATTATCTGCACTAGAATTTGAGGGAGGCGATGAGCTTTTGGACATCAGCTATTTTAAGGTTTTTGACCTTTCGTACATCACACACATTCAGTTCTATATGATGTGATGTCTGGGACAAGCATATCAGTTCTTGTCAGCAGCATTCACTCTCATGTTATGTATTGTGTGCTTTTTCATTGAGTTATAAATAACTGTCTTGTAAATATCCATTTCAGTCAATTTAAGAAGTTTGACAGAGAGAAGCAACACAAGTTACGAGATCAGTCATGAGCAATTTTGGACTAGCAGACAGAAGATTCCTAAATAGGCAAAGCGAAGTCTCCTGGGTCTGTCTTGGTCTTTCACCAAAATATTTAAGTTCTTGACAACTTTAGTGTTAGATCTGATGAGAATCTGATGAGCTGTGATTTTTAACTTTGGACTACACCTAAACTGCCATTTATCAGACAGACAGCGTTGGAGGTGTCAGAGCCTCACCATCCTGAGCTCTCTCTTTACAGTCCTTGGAGGGATCGATGCAGCTCTCCTATAGAGATGCAAATATTTCCTTATCAGAAGTTTTTATTTAGGGTGTCTTGTTTTGGGTGGAACCAATCCAGGTCTGGAGATCCCAACCAAGATCAGTCTCCCATTCTCACAGGTGTTAGCGTCTGTAGTAATGGATTATCCAAGATAGCAAATTAACCATTTATGGGGAGGTTGAGAGAAAGATGAGCTTAGCAGCTATGGGAAGCCCATAGCAAGTTCAGCAAGATTTGTGTGCACCCTTCACTCCTCTCTAGATACAATTTAATTTTTCTCTTGTATAAGAGTGTTCAAAAGTGCAAGTTATAGATTTTTATGGGAAAGAGCCAAAGTAAAATTCTTTGGTTAAGCTGTAGCATCTCTTCAAAGTCTTGATATTATATTCCCAAATACTCAATTCACCTTTTCTGGAAGTGGAAGAGTTGAATTTTTTGTGAGCTGCCTTTTGGTCATAAAAAGAGTGAAGAGCTCTCAGGGAGTATGCAGCCTCTGGGAGCAGGTTCCCACGCCCTTCACCACTGATGTATTTTTGTTAAGCCACCAGCTGGGAACAGTTGTGATTTTTTCATCTAAGATGTAGGACGTGGGGTCAGTACTGGCAAACTCAAGCTCATGACATCACTGTATTCAAAATAAACTTTACTTCTCTGCCTCATCT